GTAAAAAAAATTCCGTAAAATTTACGGTAGAAAACCGGCAGCTGTGGTTGCCGGAATTTTACCGTAAAAAATACGGTAGCAACGTTTTAGGTTTTACGGTTTTAACTTAAATTTACAGTTAAATACCGTAATTTCATTAACTGATAAAATGTTATTATATACCAACCTATTGAAGTACTAAAATCTGTTTTGTACCTTTGTAATACACTGATAACCACCAAATGCAGATGGTGATGAGAAAGTCACACGATGAACCAAAGCCTATCACAAGCAGCTTTTAAATAATAACATATATAGAAGGTGCACAGTGTCATTCACACAAACACCAAACACCATCATGGTAACACACATGAAACTGAAATAATGCAATAAACATTCATTAACAACATTAGGTGTAACGCACAACCCTAATATACAAAACTGATAAGAAAAAAACTAAGAAGAAACATAGTTATTTCAACAAAAAAACATCAAATTTGAAATGTAACACAGGGAATTCTGGGAATGTCAATTTACAGTTATTCACTGTAAATTAAACGGTCTTTTTCACTTTCAAAAACGGTATACTACCGTAAAATTAATGTCCAATACATGTAATGTCCAATACAGTTTTTCACCGTATATAGTAGGGGAATTGACCGTTAACCATTTAACAGGATTTTACTGTAGCATTTTTACAGTCTTTTACCGTTAAATTCACGGTCATTTTTTACAGTGTATGCTCAGGCCAGAGATACAGATTCACGTCTAAATCACATCCCATACTATCTCATTCCCCATGCTGTCCAGTAAATAAGAGTCCAGAAGTCTCTCAACTACAACCTAAAAGGTCTTCCTTTCTTTTGTGGGACACAAAGAAAGATATTTTATTAAAAAAATTATGGGTGTTTTTGTCCATGCAAAAACAGTTGAACCATTCTTCAAAATACCTTTGTTTGTGTGGCACAGAAGTCATACAGCCTGGAACAACAAGAGGGTGAGTAAATGATGACAGAAATATAGTTTTCAGGTTAACAGTTACTTTCCCAATCATACCAAGGAATTATAAAGAAGCCATTCATAATCTGTTGACTGTTATCAAACATTGGCTCTAAAACATATTCACACATTTACTGTTGCTCTTCCTGGCTTCCCAACAGCATATTTGGCAGGTTGATTTGGCAGACATTAGCACAGCACATTATCCAGACACTCCATTGAATTGGCTATGTGTGCACCATTGCCAGAGCTCTCCGATGACAGCAGATCTAGCTTTACACCACTGCAATCACCTCCACCATAATAGACTATTAATAGAGGAGAGCAGCAAGAGACATGCTTCTTCTCTTTCACAGTCAGCAGAGTGTCGCTTTCCCTTCAGACTCTCCAGAGCGGGAAGAAACCCTGTGGCCCACTGTGTGAAGTGTCAGGAGGCCCACAGGGTCTGCCCAGTAGAGATACAGATTGATGGGCATTGCTTCAGTGCTCTTACAAGAGCCTCTGCCCTTATTTCATTAGCCGCTTGACTACAGATCTACTCCATGACGCTATCACGATGACCCTCGTGACCATCTGATAACAATTCGTTCTCGATCACAGTTTGTGCACAATACAGCTCTGATAACACAAAGGCTCTCAAACACACTTCCTGGATGTCTTCAGTATGCCTTGTTGCATTCAGATTTTAGCTGGTAGGTATAATTTTGAAGAATGAAGAAGACTGAATGTTTCAGGATAATACCAAAGTCCCTTTAATGCTGAGCTGGCTTCCCTCTATTTCCGACTCCACTTGAAGGGCATATAAAGCAAGCCAGTTTACTTGGCGACCATCTTTGTAACACCCCTGGCCGCCTATTTTCTTCGTAACTATTGTGACCTTCAAGTGGAGTCGAAAAATTATCATAATTATGCATTCTAAGCAAATGAATGACCAAGCAAAGATATATTTACAGTCAGAAAAATCAGAATTCAGTTGTTGAGTTGTGGCATTGGAAAGGGTGTGTCAATTTGAGACATGGAGGCAACACTAATATATAATATACATAATATCATACATCTATAATCTATATATAGAGATAAGTGGAAAGCAAGTCTGTAGTGTATGTTGTTACTAACTCAACTTTCACAGTTTTGCTTTACATTTAGTTGTGATACCATGTATAAAAAAGTGATTGAAATGAAATATTCTGAATTCCGGTGTAGTTATTTGGGTTTAATTTTCACAATATATATATTTTGTTTACTTTAGACTAGGTTAATGTTATGTTTCTGACTTGAATCTTCAAATATTCAAAACTATTTGTTGAATGATGCTTCAATATTATGTTAAAATTTCTTACAAATAAGCAATAAAATCTGACAACTAAGGTATCATACATTCTGCTTCTTTACCTTCATTTTTTTCAGGCTGTTCCAGCTAACACGAATGCACATTCTAGAATAAACACAGCTGATTAAAAAAGCCCTTAAAACTGCAAGGGCTGCAAGGTAAGACTTGCATTTACAGTTTACAGTTGTGATAATGAGCATTACAATTTCTCCCATAGATGTTTCCAGGAAGTTCATTTCCTCCTCCTTCTACTTGGAGAAAATCCAACATGCACTTGTTGGAAACAATGTAGATGGGCAATATTTTCAACATGCTCAATATGGGGCAAGAAAGTCTGCTAGAAAGTTCAATGACTGATAATCTCAAGGGCACTGCTATGCAATATTTCAGAGACTGCAGAATCACCAGCACTAGGATACTTTATGACAATTATAATCTTTATAGCTCAAGGAACAGATATTAACATTTTCCCCACTTGCGCCTGTGTCTTTTGCAGCTTCTCGTACATAACGTGGTGTAGTTGGTGCTAGTTCAAATTTAAAGAATGCTATTACAAAAAAGTTGCATCTGCAGATATGGCCTTGATTTGGGATCTGTGCCTTTGTGCATACGGACATCTGACTGCTAAGTAGGGATTGTGTTTTTCAGCAATAGTGTGTGCACCCTTAATTTACAGAGAAAAGAAGGTCCGGGAAAAATCTGTAGATGGAAAAATCTCCATACAAGTTATTTGTGAATTTTTCTTTTTTCTAATTGTTACTTTGCACTTTTTATTAGAAAATGTTTATTTATTATTTATTCAAGTTTTTAAAGGTATCTAATATTTTGATACTGAATTTCCATGATCTAAATATTCTTAAGAATTAAAAGTTTGTTGTCATTTGAAAGCGTGTTGGCCTTCTTGCATTATTATGCTTTTATATTATGATTATATATTCAGTGGCATAAAATGGTCTTAAAATGACAATAATATTGTTTATTGCAATTATTTCTGGGCCAATATATCGCACAACAAAAAGTTGTTATCGTGACAGGCCTACCTGTATGCAGCATATCGTCCTCATAGTTGCATAATTAGCAATCACATACACATTTCAATGGGCAATATTTCTGCTTGACTAAATCATTAAACAAACAATGAAGCAATTATAAGACAGTAGTAAATAGGTTTTGTGACAGTTACCTCATGTGATCCACCTGTCTTCCTGACACAAGGGGAGCAATGAAACATGATTACTACTGCTGGCTAAAGGGCCTCTATAACAACAGGTGCTACTGGCCGAGTTCACAGGTGACACATGTGAAGGAGGTTTAAATTTTAAAGAGATACTGTATCACTGCATGCATAAGCTTCACATCAGATGTCTCAGCCCCTGACATTCAAGATGCTGTCAAAAAAAAAACAATGATATGAGTGTAGTTTTGCTGTGGTACTAGCAAGGTGTACCTAATAAAGTGGCCAGTGAGTGTATATAATATGTGATTCTCGTTCCTTATTTTTCATATTATATTTTAAGGAAAGCTGGTTACCATGGTAAATGTTTGTAAAGGATTGTTGCGTGTAACAAGCTGGCTAAAGCTAATGCTGGCTAACACATCTGTAGCTGGCCAGAGACTGAATATGGACCGGAATAAATGATTGGTTACCAAGTTAAAAAAAAAAAAACACACACACAAGCTAGAAATATGCCTAAACCTAAACTTGTAAGACACGCCCACATACACACGCAAAAGTCGGTTGTCAGATATTAAAGGGGTCATATGACGTTGCTAAAAAGAACATTATGTTGTGTATTTGGTGTATGCAATGTGTTTATGCGGTTTAAGGTTAGAAAAAAAATTTAATTTTCCACATAATGTACATTATTGTTGCTCCTCTATGCCCCGCCTTTCTGAAATGTGTCGATTTTTACAAAGCTCATCGTTCTGAAAAGCGAGGTGTGCTCTGATTGGCCAGCTATCCAGTGCGTTGTGATTGGCCGAATACCTCAAGCGTACAGCGAGAATCAAAGTTACGCCTTCTTTCTTTGCGTATACATTTGGGGGGCGTTATGCAAATCTTCCCACACAGTGATGTAGACATGTGGGGGCGTGTTTAAACTAGGCGTTTTAGGAGGGCGTGGACAAGTCTTACGTTTTATAAAGAATATCTCTTTGGGTTTGAGACTTTAGTCTTTGCAACTTTAGGGATCTTATCTGTGCACCAACAGCTTGTAACCCTCCAAAGAGAAAGGAAAATTTGAAATCGCATCATATGACCCCTTTAAAATGCAACGGCTCTCATAAGCGTCACAGAGAATCGCTGTATGAGAACATCAGTTGACGTTAGCATGAGCACTAGCTGACGCGTTAATAAAACATCGTACTGTCATTTAATGAGTGAGACAGGAGTTTGTCCGCTCGTAATTACATTTAAGGGCCTGGTTTAAAAGAAAGGCACGGTGATTAAGTGAAGCGAGGGTTTTGAGGTGGACTAGCATCTGTCCACACTAGAGACGCGCTCGTGAAGTGCAATGAGTGTCCGCATGTATGTATGTTTGACAGCTCTCATGACCTGCATTGACATGACAGATCCCTACACTGGTCGGCCACACAACAGCATACTAACATAGCCCATATATATGCATACATTGCATTCTTGTAATAAATGAATGACATCAACACAGGTGCATAAGGAACGCGTATTATTTACCTGTAATAGGACAGCAGTCCATTGCTGAGCACGAACCATCTGCGCTGGTAACCTTTGATATAGTTAGTCCATTTAAAGAGCCAGCCTTTGTACGTGTCCGAGCCCGGGGCTGGTGTCCCGCTCGCTGGCGTGGACGCAGCACTCTTGCCCTGCTCGCTCATTCTCCTCCTGCCCCGGTCCACTGCCGCAGACTGATGATGTCGCCGCCGCCGCCGCTGCTGCTGTTTGCAGGATAAGCACGGAACTGCGGTGAGAAAGGACACGATCCTGCTGGGGCCACTGCAGGGAGCGGCCACTCTCCCCATAAAACTCACCGCCGATGCTCTGAGATGGACGGGCTACCAGGGGAGGAGGAGGAGGGTCTGGGGCAGGGAGAGAGAAACAGCGCACTCCCCTTCTTTCTCTCCACGATGACAGAGAGATGAACAGCAGCGAGCTTGAGAGCAGGAGCGACGACCACTGGCGAGAGAGGAGAGCGCTGCTCCAAAATCACCCGCGCACTATTTACGCTCATAGTTTTCATCCAGTCAGTCACATTTTGCGCTACACTGTTCATATGAATTACAAACATAGGTAGTAGGCTACGTATTGAGTAATACAAAACACGCGCTCAGTAATAAAGAGTATTTAAAATACTTACTGTTATAGTCACTTCTATATGTTATATACAATTCTATCATTTATTTAATTTAATGTTATTCAAATATACATGTAATCAATAGCACGTACTGTTGGACTCTATTAGCTCCACTGCTAATAGTTAATAGTGAGTAACTTGAGCTTCAGACAAAAAAAAAATTCCAGTAAGTTCTGTCAAGGAAAATAATTCTACAAGCTAAAACATCGCCAAGAAACGTACGGACTGGATCAAAATATAAGTGGAGCGGAGTGTCTCCGCTCGAAGTACTCTGCAATAACTCCATCACTTGAACTCCACTCCAGATTTTCTCACGCTAGTGAGAAAACTGACCACAAACGAAAGTACTGGACAAATCGCTTTCCGTATTGATTGGATAAGAGACTAGTGTTCCATCTCATTCGCTAGAGAAAACGCCACACGTTGACTTGAAAACGTTCCCCGCTTCTCATTCATTCCGGAATGTTAGAACACCGCTTATCCAATCAGATTTGAGGAATGGAACTTTAATATTTTACTGCATTTTAGCATACAGTATGTGTACCATTGGATACCTTATCAAAGTGCTATAGTAAAGACTATGATAATGAAAATAGGAACATTTATATAATGTATCCACATTAATTCTTGGTAAACGAGTACATATTTATTATTTGTGTCTTGTGTCATTCGCGTTTTTATCTGTGTAGGTCTTGTGTAAAATTTGTTCAAACTTATTTTGTAATTGTTATTTGGTAGTTCGCACCGGTCTTACAGATTCATTTTTATTAATAGATAAAAAATTATTGGAGAAAAAAACTGTCTTCTTGAAATACTATCATATTTTTCTGTTCTTCAGTGCATTCATTTGTATTGAATGATTATTATTATTAAATTTTTAAAGCTGAACGAGGTAAGTATAGAAAGGCAGTATTGTGATAAAATATTTCATAGAAAAGATCGTTCACCAATTGGTGGCGCCATGGTGTTTCAAATGTGGCACAAGCAGTTGGTTTGGGATGTCAGACACAAGTGATATATGAAATATTAAACAAAAGAGGGGAATAGCTAAGACATTGTTTGAAATGGTTTATTAATTTTTCCTTGATGAAACATAACAACTATTAAAATAAAACAAACATTTGTTTCCATTTTACAAAAAAAGCAGGTAGCCCTTTAAAATCTAAACCAAAAAAGTGAGAGAAAAGAGTCCAACCAAGACAATCTATATTCAGCATGTCTGAATGTTCAGTCTAAATCCTTTAACATTACTAGCACAGGACATATTCTGCTACATCATCTAGTCCTCAGTCCACAACCATAGCACTTAACACTGTGTGGCATGCAAATGTATGAACCCCTCTCTGCTGTTTTATAACACTAGCCTGACTGTTTCTCAATCACTTACACTTAAACTACATGCTAAGCTTATTGCACACTAACATTATACAAAAAGACAAAAACGATGCTCAAGTATTGTTACAAAGTTCTGCTTGTACTCACTCATGTAGGTACGTACAGTAGGTACATCAGTGCAATTTACCCCTGATTGATTTTGGTTTTGCCAATTAAAGCATGCAGCTCCATTAAACAGAAAGAGATTCTTTATGATAAAAAAAGTCTGAAGGATGACCCAAGTTGCTAACTTATTTATGTTTCCATCTGCTGACAGAGGTTCATAGCTCTTTTGAGTCATGTAAGATGTGTACAAGTGCATAGATGGCCATCAGGGTTGCATTTTGCGATGAAGGAGGTTGATTTTTTTCCTTAGAACATATGTCTTATGACCTTTTTCTGTCATGGGAATGCATTCGGGGCGGGTGTGCGGCTTCTAGGACCATTCATTTTCTCAGTCTAACGAATTTCCACCTGCGTGCCAAAGCTCCACAGTTTATTACCTCAGAACAGAGTAGGTGACAGAATAGGTGTAGCAGTGCGACAGCTCTAGCTGTGAATCAAGACTTCCACACAGCCAGCCAATCAATCGTGCTGACTATCAGCACATGTCTACAGAACGTTCTCTATTAGTTAATTTGAAGCTCGGGCCAAACATCTACCTGTTCTCTACACTAGCAGAAAGTAGCATAGAAAAAAACTAGCCCCAGATCGACCGAATCTCACTGCAGACACTGAAGAACTTTAACTTTAATGTATTCTGCATTCAGAAAAACTCCAGAGAGGATGTGTATTGCACTGTCATCCACTGACATACAGACTGCAGTCCACTGCAGTAAAGGATGTAAGCCTCCTCTGCATCCTGGTTCAGCAGAAATCATCAGGTTTAGGGAAGCCCCAGGGGACCTGTTGGCTTTATCATCACTTCTTACATCTTCTAGAGTGCCACTGATTGTACATGCTTGCTGAAATCTGCACAACACCTCTCTATCCTGCCACAGGAAGACATTATTTTGTGCCTCACTTCTTCAGTTATCTATATTTAGGAGGTAGGATGTTCGCCATTTTTACTAGATTTGGCAGGGCATATGGTGACAAAATTGCAATGCAGTTATATATAGTATGCAGGCTGGGATATACCTATCTTGGCAAATGTGCTAAGAAGTTTGCAATGAAATAAGTCAGCATGATTTATTGAAGTCCAATATAACAGCTCCAGGCATCTCTTGGCCATGTTCATACATCCACCATGGAACAACACAGTGAACTGGAGAGGTGTATATGGAAGGACAGCTCATCAGTAAGAATGCTGGTGCCTATTTTAAGGACAAATTTCCTAAGTTTCTTAATGCAGTCGTGCACCGGACCAGAAGCGCAGCGCCACGTTGCGTCTAGGACAGCTCACTGGTAAATAGTTAATCTAATCAGCCAATAGGCAAAAGTTCACTTCAAGAATTAACAAAGTGGCATCACGGAGTTTAAATTTTAGTGTTTGAAAAAACAGAGCAAATGTAAAGAAAAAGGGCGATCTATGTTACACGTGTGTGTGTGTGTGTGTGTGTGTGTGTGTGAATTTGGCACTTCTTGTCCAGTGTGCAACCCCCTTTAGATTATGGACAAAACCATTTTGCTATTAAAAAAGCTGTTCCAATAAAAAATATTGTCCCAATCACATTGTTGGAATACTATATACACTTTTGCAGAGTCTGTGTAAAGTGGCCCACTGAATTATTACAAATGGAATGTGAGAATGGTGAGGTTTCTGTCTGTGGTTTATGAAGTCAAATGTTGTGGCAGGATCTTATTAATGTCCTGAAGCAGTTTTTCAAAAAAATGAGTAACAGGGCAGGGATTTTTTTGGAAGTCAGCGCTTCTGAAAGTAATCTAAAGATTAACATATTTCATGATACAGAGGAAGTTTCTAAAAATGTTTAAAAATGTATTCTCTCATTTGTTTTTCATTGATACGATAACATAGGGAAAGATCAGATCATATTTTAGGTCAAATTTGAGGATCACTACAGATAATTCCAACAGGTTCACAAACTTTCGCTCATCATAATTCCTAAACCCTAAGTTTATCCTTCATAAAGGCTGTTTCCAAACAACAGTTAAAAACTGTCACACTGGAGTACACTTGCACTCACAGCATCTGAATTTAAATCTGAGCAGGAAGGGGAGACAAATTATACTCTCTTTGAGTCAGATGCAATATCTTACTCAGACCATGTCAGACTTTGGTAAGATGGGAAAAAAAAACCTTATCTGCATCCATTTTTTTTGTTAGAGTACACTGGAGTAAAGTGAAATTAGTAGTACCTAAGGTAATCCATCAGATGAATGCATCAGTTACAGAGGCCCCTAGGTGGTAATATTCCAGCCATTTTGATTGACAGTTTGTCCCCAAAGCTCCATTCTCGCGGTACAGCAAAGTTGACTTTCAATACTGACGTAGGACCAGTTAAAATCAGATAATTAAGATTCTGATAACACAAACGGGTCCTAAATAAGCATAAATTCAAAAAAGGCTACATATCTGTCACATGACATTACAGCGGTTCCTCTGCAATGCCCCTTGGAGACGGATAGAGGTGTGGTTCGGACGCAGTCCTCGTGCCATGGCTATTCCCAGGAGCTCTTTGAAGAGCAGAAGCACATGCCAGTTATACTTAGCAGAGCACTCAACATAGCCGCACTTCCAGGTTTTCTTCACCAGGACAGACACGGCCCTGCGCTGGGTGAACCGATGCCGCTGAAGGTCCCGCTTACTGCCCACCACCAGGATGGGCACTTCACTACTGCTGCCCACTCTTACGGAAAGACACAGAAAGACACAGAGAGAGGGGAGGTAGGTGAGATGGCAGGTGAGAAGAGCAATAAAAGAGGTTTAAGAGGGAATTAGCAAGTGAAACAAAGCAACCACATGAGAATCAATCGGTTTCTTACATGACATTTATTTTGGACATAATATTTGTTCATGTTTGCATGCTAATATCTTCAGCAAACATGCACAGACACACACACACACAAACATGAAAAGCCCCTCAACTCCTTGACACACTCTGAAGGCACTGAGCTCATAATGTGTGCAGGAGAATGCATGATGTGTGTCCCTTCTCAGTGCTTGAAGATCACACAGGCACACACACATAATGAATGAAGAATGAAAGCGTTTCATGTTCAGGGGGCAATACAGTTCGTACAGTATAAAAACCATTACGCCTATGGAATGTCCCCATTTAGATAGCTAAGTAAACATGAGTGTGTGTGTGTGTGTGTGTGTGAGAATTTTGCTAAACTAAAAAAAAAAGTGCAATGAAATGATTTGCCAATTCACTGTTGCAGAGGGAGCTCAAATTAAAATGCAAGGTTTCACTTATTTGCTTAGAAAAAAAGTGAAACACAGCCTGGTTGAATACATGTAGCTATTAAATAAACATCTGGCCAATTAATATAGTATTGAGTATCTTTACATAATAGTAAATTACCAAGGGACCCATGCATACACAAATTACATATAAATATTTAAAACCTTTAATTGAACACATTAAATTTAATTGAGGACCCAAGGGCATTCCATATGATTCATTTTAATATAAAAAGCATACCACTGCTATTATTCTGATTCTATCATTTCAAATCTGTCAAAAATTGAGGATTTATGCCATTATATTTATATATATATATATATGTGTGTGTGTGTGTGTGTGTGTGTGTGTGTTCAATATATGCGAAGAGACAGAGAGAAAGAAAAGAATGTGTGCAAGTAATATCAGCACAAAAGAGGTGAATAGTCTGTCAAAGAGACCAGTGCCATTGTGTTTAATAAGCCTACTTCAATCACTCATGCCTGTGTCTGGGTGCTTGTGTCATGTTTTACACTTATTTATCCCCCTTTCATACAGTTTATCTGTGCTTCCTGGCTACCCTCTCACTATCTCTTAAACCTTTCAAGCCCTTGTTTAGTCAAAGAACCTTTGTGAAATTTTCTTCTATCTTCTTCTATCACACCCTCTGCATGTGAATTGAGCTTACATTCAATATTCTATCACATCAAACATCTCCATGCAATCTTTATATATTTAACTGAATTCCTAAAAACTACAATAAAATCTTATTGTCTAAAGGACTGCAATAAGACTGAGGTGTTCTCAAAGCAGTGAGAACGTGAACATCATTCGTAAAACAGAGGTGCGATATTGTGGGTGGGGAAAAGGGCTAAAGGTGGAGACTGCAGATCATTTTCTGTCATTCATTCAGTTCACATAAGACCTTTATGCAAATGCACGATGCTGCACAACTTCTATGGTGCACAAGACCTGCACATGCAAAAGGATTTTCTCACTGGCATCTATTATATTCTTATCAGCTGTAGTGAATTGTGACAGTGTCTATGCTCTGTAACTGTCACTCATCCATATTCTCAAATGTCACCTCATCATCTCAGCATCAGCTGGGGAAACAAGGGCCAAATGTTATTAAAAACATCAAATCCAATCAGTAGTTTGTCGCTGCAGCTGATACAGTCACATTAATCAGTGCTGATGTACCTCATATTGCTAAGGAGCTAAGAAAAATCGGTTTCAATGATCACAGTTGGTCCCATTCTAACAATAATAGAAGGACTGTCAAACATATTAGATCTATCATAGCATGATAATCATTCTCTATTATTCTTTGAGGTGATTCATTTCAGGTTCTGAATGAGCTCTGTTATCCTGTTATCTTACCTGTTATCCACAATTTGCTGTCGGATCATCTTGACATACTCAAAGCTTTCCACACAGCAGATGTCATAAACTAGAATGTAGGCGTTTGCGCTGCGGACCCCTCTACACCGCGTATCCAGCCACTCCTGATAGATAAAAACAAACAGACAGACAAAAACACTTGATCAAACACAGTAAAACCCCCAGTGTTAAATCAACACTCCCAGTGTTTATATAATCCACACTCAGAGTGTTAAAAAAGTAACACTGAAGCAGTGTTAAAGTTAATGATATAATTAGTTTAGTAATTGAGTGATGATTGAGATTTATTGATGAACACCTGCTGTTAACAAACTGTCAAACTAAGTCAGCTGTGTGTTTGTTTAGACATGTTAGTTATGGTGAGAAAAAAAAAACCAAGAGAAAGTGTGGTAAAGTGATGGTTATGTTTCAACAAAGCCATATCCAGCTTACAGTGACTTGAGTAACTCATTAAAATTGTAGCAGAAACACTGGCAGATATATAGGTCTATTTTGGAATTGATTTTATGATGCACATAGTTTAAGATCTGACAGTTTTAAGATTAACCTGATGGAGTTTAAAAACTTATTCTGTACTTGAATTTTTCTTTTTTTTTTATCAAACAGACTTCAAGAGTCAGCATATGAATCTCAACAATGGTGACAGTCAACATAAAGCTCCATGTTGCAGTGCATTCTGGGTGCACCAATCAAAACTCATCCATGGCTCCCAGCATGCAATGCGACATGAATAAATTATGCAGCTGTCTTCGTATTTTCTTTTATTCGTACTATTTCCTTTTGTTTTGCTCTTTTTGTTGTGACTTTTAGTAGCCTGTTTTGTGATGTTCACAGATGATCCGAATATCTGAATATGTTGATTGTCACCATTGTTGAGATTCATACTCTCATTCTTGATGTCTGTATGATAATGCAGCTTTAAACTCCTAAAGCAGATTTGCTTTTAAAAGTTTTTCAGACTAATTTTAAATCTGCTGGGTCAAGATTTTTATTTCATGTGAACAAAAATAAGTATTAATCCAATCAATGGTGATGCACTGAGAAAATTAAGTTATGAAAGTGTCCAAATGCTGACGGTTTCTTAACTGAAAAACAACCATCAACACCCTATTGCTATATCATTAATTAGTTACTCTAGTCACTGTACGCTGGATATGTCTTTGTTGAAACATAACCATCACTTTACCACACTTTCTCTTGGCATTTTTTTCTCACCATAACTAACATGTCTAAACAAATACACAGCTATGGCAACCAAATACATTCTAATGTTTTAAGTCAAGGGTCAAGAGCCCAACTAAAGGAAACACTGACCTCGGTAATGGTAATTCAAACAAAACTAAAACATCAACATCTAAAGTCAGTCTGGTTAGTAATGTGTGAAGTTGGTGATGCTGTTTGTGGAGTTGTTTAATCATCCTCTGCAGAGATCTTGAGAGATTTAATGTCTTCTTTTATGTTGTGTTGATTTCATCTAAGGCTGTGGCTGAAGTCAGCTGTGTAGTTCTTGTATTTCTGCTCGTCTCGTCTATTTTTTTCTGTTCTTGTTTCTCTTTCTTTCAGTGATTCAGTTTGTTAACAGCAGGTGTTCATCAATAATGCTCAATCATCACTCAATTACTAAACTAATTATCTCATTAACTTTAACACTGCTTCAGTGTTACTTTTTTAACACTCTGAGTGTGGATTATATAAACACTGGGAGTGTTGATTTAACACTGGGGGTTTTACTGTGAACAGATGGCTGCTGATTGATTGCTTGACAAAGCAGGCAATTACTTGTTTATCTGTGTTGATGGGAGGCCAATGTTCAATTAATTTTTGAAAATCAAACATAAAACGTTATTACAACATTTCACAACGTTGCATTTTGGTTGTAGTTAGGTCAGGGCCGGAGTGGGAGTCATTTTCAGCCCTGGATTTTCATGCCAGAGCGGCCCACTTTAGTTCACGACTGACTATAGCTATTACAATAATGTAATGAAAACTTCAGTAGGCTATATAAGTCTGCAATAGCGTTTAGGAGGTGAAAATACTGTGAAATTACATATATACAAATGGCAAGAAATTTGAAAGCATAACAACTGAACGTCTATGAAACGTCTATGCACTTACATTTTTTTAACTAAAATGGCTATTATTGCAACCATATAGCCTATGAATGAATGAAAATGCATATTTTTCAACTAAAGAAAACTTGTGGGCTGAGTGTGGGCTGCTCTTTTGATAAAATGAGGTCCAAGTTTAAGAATGCGCTAGAAGTTAAATTTTTTTAAATGTATTTTCCTCTCTATTTAACAGCTTTAACTTACAATAGTGAAAGACGTCTCCCCTCAGGTAGATTAAATGTTTTCCTGCCTTGCTAAATTTTGGGCTCATGATCAATAAATTGCATTCGCCCAAAATGATTTGCCAAAATCAAATCGCGGACGTAAGCGCGAGTCCTGCTCGCAGCCGGCAGAGGATTCCGCTTGGTCTTAAAGGCAGGGTATGTGATTTTTCAAAAACACTTTAGAAAACTGATTCGGGCCGAATAGCAAAACAAACTTGTAGCCAATCAGCAATAAGGGGCGTGTCTACTCGTGATGTGGAGGAGAGAGCTTTCAGTGCATGGGACGGACATTAGCCGAGCCGAGCGACAGAAAGATAGAGATGGTGGATAAAAAACAAAAGAGGAAAACGTCTGCGGAACGATAAGGCAAAGAAGTTTTTGAACTAAAATGGCTATTATTGCAACCATATAGCCTATGAATGAATGAAAATGCATATTTTTCAATTAAAGAAAACTTGTGGGCTGAGTGTGGGCTGCTCTTTTGATAAAATGAGGTCCAAGTTTAAGAATGCGCTAGAAGTTAAAAAATTTTAAATTTATTTTCCCCTCTATTTAACAGCCTTAACTTACAATAGTGAAAGACGTCTCCCCTCAGGTAGATTAAATGTTTTCCTGCCTTGCTAAATTTTGGGCTCATGATCAATAAATTGCATTCGCCCAAAATGATTTGCCAAAATCAAATCGCGGACGTAAGCGCGAGTCCTGCTCGCAGCCGGCAGAGGATTCCGCTTGGTCTTAAAGGCAGGGTATGTGATTTTTCAAAAACACTTTAGAAAACTGATTCGGGCCGAATAGCAAAACAAACTTGTAGCCAATCAGCAATAAGGGGCGTGTCTACTCGTGATGTGGAGGAGAGAGCTTTCAGTGCATGGGACGGACATTAGCCGAGCCGAGCGACAGAAAGATAGAGATGGTGGATAAAGCCTGGGTTGCGTACGTATATGTGGGGCGGAGCTATCAAAATAGGGGCAAGACCTTTTTGGGGTAGGGGCGTGTTTGTTTTGGTGATTTCAAATATCAACATTGGCTACCAGAAATCACTTACTCTGCCTTTAAAGCCTTCATCAAACGGCTACGTTCACAAATAAAATAATATTTTGAGCAAAAATAATGATTAATTATCAATTGAGAATTTGTTATTCATATGGTCTGGTGGCGAATACGGGACAAACTGTGTTATAGCTTTCATACGGGATGCTTCTTTGATGCCTTAAATACAGGCATCCATATTTCAACCCCATAGCAGTGGCATGACAGTACCGGCCCTCGCAGCCAAAAAACAGACCGGCCCACCGGGAATTTTCCCGGTGCTCCCGATTAGCCAATCCGG